TAAAAGCCAAACGGCTGCAGTACAACGAGTTTCATCCGTCCTCATCTGGTGAGATCGACCAACGAATCTAACATGATAATCAAGTTACGAAACCACTTGTTCTAACCTTTTAGTCAATGTTCATTAACGTTTAACCCTTCAAGGAAAGACAAGACTTGGGGTTGCGTAATCTGACATGTCTGGTTTGGTTGACGAACTTAATTTAACATTTTGGGCGGCTCAGCACCCTTTCTTTCTTTCAATCTATCAATCAAGCATGAGTACTTTTCACTCAACTTTCTACCACAATCTGGTAGCAACCGGATCTCGAGAATGGGTCATATTTCTCTCTAAATTATGACATAACAGAAAAAAGTGTGAGCGTTTCTTTGAATACTGTTTTTATGCTCCACTTCTTTACTATTTCGCCTATCTTTTTTGAGAGAAAGCATGACGGACATGGGAAAAGGTCTCAGTCTGTCTCTTTTTGACTAATTGGTTCCCGTCTGAAAATTTATTACTCAGTAAAGAGATTTTATTCTCAATAAGGCCTAAAGGATAATTATTTTCCAGGAATATATTTGTCAGCCGTTCCAACTCTGAGTTAAATGTTTGCTATCCGCTAGCCTCATACTTCTAAGAATTATTGATTTAAAAATTCTAACATTAGTCTTGTAACTATGGTTATAAAGAAAATTAAGCAAAGATCCAACATATTTTCGATTCCTATAAGCATCTCTTCCTAACCTACCCTATTATGTGATAATGAGAAATTCCAGTCGTCATTCACGAGAAAACTCACCACTACAAGAAACCGAGAAAATGCTGAATTCTTATCCCGAACATTCCTATCACGGCGGGACAAACGACAGGCCACGACGGAGTGAAGTACTTATTCAATCAATCCAAACTTATTCACTTTAAAGCGATCCTCTGACTTCCGTTTAAGCCATTCCACTAATTTCTTCGAAAAATCACTTTTTATTCCAAATAAAAGTTGTGTCACATCAGGACTGTAGGATGGTGAGCCGAGAATTTGTTTGCACAAGCCCAGCCTCTTTTTCCCAGATCTCTGATCCTCTTTCGGTTTCCGGCAGGGACAATTCGCAACTCTCTGAAGAGGTTACCGGGTTTCTTTCCGCGCAAAGCACAGATAACATTAACACCTTTCGGAGCAGCCAAAATCCTCCACTGTGCCCTATTTCCCACATTTGCCATGGCATCGAAGCAGGCATAAAGTGTTCCACGCTTAAAATTGACTTATCAATTAGTTTGCCCCTCAAGAATAAAACAAAAGATTGGTAACTGGCCAATTGACATGACTCATAACTTACATGTCAAAATGGATAATGGATTAAATGGAGAGCCTTGCCTCGACAATTGCATGCAAAGTGAACAGTTTAATGTGAGTGATAGCAAAGTTTTATTTCAAAAAAATTGGCAAATCCGTTTCGTGCATGTGAATATCATGCAAAGAAAAGAAAAGAAAAACTGGAAGATATCAGCGTATATCGCTTTGAAATACCACATTTCTCGACCTATTTCCAAAGAAACTAGATGTGTATGCATTCAATAGCAGTCAGCGGCGCCAGTTCAAAGAAAATTCGCGCAACGGACACGGCACCTGAATCGGGTTTGATCCTTTCGGCTGTAAACAAGCAAAAATACGATATTATTCGACCAAGTAAAGCCTCCATCTTTAAAGGGTATAAAGATAAATCAATAGAAAAAGCTTCCAGAACGAGAAGTGCAAACAACTCCGTATGCCAGACACTGAGAAATGAATGAGCTGTCTCGAGGCTGCCATCACCACCAGACACCTTCTTCGGTAATGTGGTCATTCCTGCCTCAACTACTAAAAATGAGTTGTTTTCACCCTATTCCGTCTAAGATGATGAAGGACTGATAGTTGATTTTTTCCACAATCTGATGAGTAAACCTCAAGTTACCATTGAATTTCACTTTGAATAGTTTTCTGGAAAGTTTTCTCACTCTGTAGTGAGATGGTACAGACCTGAACACTCCTAAGATTCGCGTCTGTCCCGTGACCCGTGTTGTGTAGTGCTTAGTTAACCTGTCGGGGCTACCACAACCGGGGCTCGAGTCCCGCTAGTTCAGACGAGGTCTAAACTGCCATTCAGTCCAGCCTGTATGAGAGTGGTTTTGGGGAAGCATGAC